CCCCTGACTTTAAAACTGTATCCGCCCCTGAATATGGATTGCGCAAATCCAGAAGTTTTCCCCCAAACGAAAATGTTTTACCGAAGCTGATTTTCTTACAAAAACTTCATGGAAAGCACCAAACGGATCAAGCAAAGATTTTTACATTTTGCTGCTTGTCCCCAGATTATTCAACAAACAGTTAAGTGATATGAAAAACGAGCTCAAAAAGCGCTTGCCAAAAAAGTGGAGAAAGCGAAGAAAAAGATTGGAAAACAGAAAAATTGTTGTGGAAAAGATGTAAAGAAAATAGGTTTTAAGAAGCACATATTGTCGAAAACTAAGGAAGATTTGGATTTTTCTCTGCACTTTTTAAGTCTTGCATTTGCAAATACTTATTTAGTTAATTGTTAAAAATGTTAAGAAATATTAATGATTGAACATTGATTACAATTTTATTTCTAATTTTTAGGTCAGTATTCATCACAAGAGATACATTTTCATTCGAAATTAATTAATAATTACAAAAAAACTAAACACCTAATTTTATATCGCAATTTCCGTGTTTAAACTTGGTTTTCAGTTCTGATAATTTTTTTAAAATAACAATTAAGCAAAAGGAAAATATCAGATATCTGAAGCATTTGAGGTTTTAAATCATGTGGAACTTTTTACGAACAAGAAATGTTTGCTTAAAATTAAAAATAAATAAGGTTTTACAGGGCTAGAAATGGACTCAACAGTAGAAGCAAGCAATCCACTAATTAAATAAAGTGTAACTATTTTTCTCTTAATTATTTTCAATAATATTTTTAACTAATAAATTATTATCTACTTAATTCGATATTTCTAATTAATAAATAATTAAATAATCACTTTTCCAGCGCAGAAATTAGTGAAAATCAATAAAAGCTCATAAAGTTTGARTCAAACGYGCAAAAAAGTGGTTYTCGTTGTGGTGCGTKCAGACCAAACGAGCCTGAGCASCGGCAAATTTCCTTGYGTTTCKTCAWAAYWYCKWCAGAWAATCGATTWTMWKTCGGTGTTWTGACGAAATATCAAAKAAATTTGCCGCGRATTAGGTTCAGCTCTGGCTCGACTCGTTAGGTCTGGACGCGGCATTMAWTTCSGATTATAATAATGTTAATAAAGTATGTAAAMTTGCAAGAAATCCATCGCCTCCAAACACTGTTTAACTACACCWTTTKTTGAATTTAWGCCGAGAAATCTTCRAGATACAATATTTTKCGATAWAAAGCATTTAAACTGCTTTTAGCTGCATTTAAACAAACTGCTTTTTYGAATTTGYTCAAATGTTCTCAAAACYGCATTYAGATTACTTTTATCAATTRAAAATTGAACGGAAAGCTAGATTATGAATCCAAAGWTTTTAAATTAATTTWCCTTTTTGCACGTAGRRAAAAAATAATTGCACACAAAACAGAATTCAACKCCATRGAGAAAAGACTAAGCTAAGTTTAAGTTYMTGAATARTSCTGYTAARTTGTCTACTTGYAAGCCTYAGAGCTTCTTTTCAATAAAAATGGAATTTTTTCCACCACAAAAATTGAAATCGATCTCTAATTGATCTTCGTGTTCTTAACTGACYCTTYCATATATCTGCAAGGGTTGCAGTTCCATTCGATTGACGTGCTTAAGATTCGATTAAATTACTTGTCAAACACCAAAGCGTGAAGAGAGGATTAAATGACAAATTGCAAGTGCTTTACCGTTGAGTGTTTTTTGTTTGCGATGGGATTGAGGACGGAAACCCTCCCTAAAGGGTGTCACGCGCTGCGGTCGTCTTTGTCGAGCTAATTTTTATGTGGGGCTCGATCTATCAGGGCGGAAAAAAGTGGCGCATCTGCCCAAACAATCCTGGGCTATTAGTGGACGTTTTTATATCTACCAGAAGTGAGCATGATTGTTTTAAAATAGTGATGAGCGAGACTCTTGATCCTGCCAAAGAAGCAAGACTAAAATTAACAGCATGTTCTGCAAGGCCAAGACTTATACAAGAGTCTTGTGAGACTATCCAGGATTAACAGCCTGAGATTATTGTATTGTTGCGTATTGGTTGTTATTATTATCTTTTAATTTTATTAGTCTTATTAAATTAATTTATATTTTACTAGTTTAAAAGAATGCTTTTGAATAAAGTGTTAAGAGAATGATGGGGTTTTCGATCAGCGGTTGGCGATTGAAGAAGTTGAAAAGGTGGAGATGAAATACAAATTTAGCATTAATAAAAAATTTAACTAAAGTCTGTTTAATAACCAGAGTAAAATTCTACTAATTGCGCAAATCCACAATATTTCAATTAAGTAAACCTCTTACCGCTAATGTTCTTTAACGGCACTTCTAGCTGTTGAACACTCTTTCTAAACGCTCATTGAAACCTGTTCATTACGTTTGATTTGAACTCCTAACATATCTTTCGATCTGAACAGGACTTAGATTAGTCTCTATATAGTTCATCTATCACCCTCGCTATCATAAACTGGATATTCGATTTGGATTTAAGACCCGACAGTAATCAGCTTTGAAAATAAAGCCAGACAGAGTTTTAAATCAAACCAAAATAAAGTATTTGCGATTGGGTGGTGAGATTGGAACACGTGCGTTTTAATGCCCGGGGGGTTAAATAGGGCCGAACTACTCGAGCGAAACGCGAAAAATTCTAGCAATAATAATGGGCAGGATTAAGCAATATGTATTGGTCAGGGGCTGTTTTTGCAGTTCCACTGAAAAATTATTGAAGAAAAACAAGCTGCAAGCTCAGAAGTGAAATTCGTCTGGATGCGTGGCGTTGAAAAGTGTTAACACAAATAGAGTGGAAGCAAGACAATATTTGAGCTTAATTGATAAAGAGCTAGTAGAAGAAATAAGCCACTTGGATAGAATAGACATCATAGAGTCTATTCTGGATGTTCAATTCTGGGATCGATTTACTCGACTATGCGCCCTCAGCAGTACATTTCAAATTCTTCAATATTTCTTCTGTTCCCTGCTTTAATTGTCAAAGTTCAGCCCCCTATATTGAAATATAAACCAATATGAAAAAAACAGCCAAATCTGAGGCTTTCTGTCTCAACTCGGTTTAAGCAATTGGATATTTTCTCCGCTGAAGTTTGGATTATTTTGCTCGCGCTCCAATACCTTTCTTATTGCGTATTCCTAAGACAAGTCTTGCAGAGGAAAGAGTGTCTGTTCTCTATTACTGCATTAGCGCAGCATAAACATTTTTCCTTATATTTTTTTTCTTAATATAATCTTTGCTCTGTGGTATTAGGTGTTCCATAGGTTTTTCCATCTGATGCAATCAAAATACTTTGGGTAATCCATAAAACAGATGACTATTGGGAAATTGAACAAGTTGCAAATGGGCAGGACATTTGGAACTTACACAGAAAGATTAAAGAAGAGAAGGATGCAGATGCAAATCCAAACATGGACTGATGGAAGCTAACGATGAAAAGCCGATTGGAGACATCACAGAGGAACTGAAAAAAATGAAGCAATAGTTCGAAAAGGTATTCAGAAGGTATCACAAATAGAGCAGGAAGAAATTGTGCAAGCAGCAAACGAAGTGAAAATGAAAAAGCAAGACACAATGAAAACTTTAAAACACCAAAACTATTGAAGGAAAATTACCCGGTCGAAGACAAAGATAATGGCTAAAAACGGAATGGCGCGAGCTGCAGAAGACTACATCTAGAAAAACAGCAAAGAATACAAAATTGTCAGAATATTTTGTGCGCTGCACCGTAAATTTAACGCAAAGCTTAAATATTCACTGATATTTGACTGTGAATATTCTCTCTATCGGCAGTCCTATTTGAACAACATTTTCATCCAATCACAGCTCGATTATTAGACAAAATTTGAATTGAAAGATAAACAAAAAAAATAAAAAATATATTGTACAGGGAGTTGAAATACTGTCGTGTTTTCTCGGTCAAAGTTTAACTCTTTCTGCGGGCAATTGAGGGTAGCCCACCAAGAAAAATGCATACGATGTTATAACCTCCGGAGCCAATCGAAAGATATTCATTTTTTATGGCCCGTTGCAATTGGGCGCATTTTTTTAATTTGAGAAAAAAATTTCTGCCAAAAAGGCGGTACGGACAAACTTTCATCGCAAGTAGGTGGCGCTGTTCATTTTGTAACTCTCTGTAGTCTTACAACAAAAAAGTTGAAAAATTCTCCAAGATAAAATTGGTTTTTGTTTGTTTTTTTTATGGGTTTACACACGCAAAAAAACAAACAGAGGTTGACAAGCTTGTAATAAAATTTTGTTTGTGCATCCTTCTTCGGAATTGAAAAATTAATTTTAAATATATTTCGTGTGGAAAATGTGAATAAAAAATAAAAAATCATTGATCATAAAAAACTGAATATACTCTCGAACGGTTCAAGAGAAACAAACCAATAAAGAGCAAAATCACTCAGAAGAAATCAGGCTGTAACAACGTATACTTTCGTGTCTCTGAGCTACTCGATACTGCACCGAAGCGGATTTAAACTATGACCAACAAATAGAAAATGAATTTATTCGAATAAGTTTTTATTAATTGATCCAAAGACCCAATATTAATTGAAATTATTTAGAATCCAACGCTGTCTAACAGGAATGGTAAAGGTGATGTTTCAGGTCGAACGTATAATTTGTGGGTTTCCCCAATCTGTTGTCATTACACGAATTTTGGAAGAGAGTGGCACTTCCTTTATTTATGACATATGTGTAACCCCCAGCTATATGGGGGGTGAAATATGACATGCAATAAATTTGGACACATCTAATATGGGTTTTTAATTGTGCTGTTAATTACAGTGTGTTCGACTCGTAAATAACCGATGTTTTCAATTTAGAGATGATTTGGCTGCTTCCGGTGTCCGATGGCCAATATTAATCGATTAGTTGGGATGTTTACGGTTTTTTCGATCAAAACTCCAATCGCTCTAAATGCCCCCTCAAAATAAGCGTCAAAATACCACGAAGAACGTATTGAATAGCTTGTTGAATCCTTCAGATTCCAGATATTTCTGGCGATTTTTAACTGCTTAGATTATCCACACTTTCATGTATTTAACACTTTAATAATGGCAAAACTTGGAATTAGAGAGATTAGAACGTAATCTGCGTTTGAATGACTCTTTTCTAAATTCGATTATTTGTTTTTTTTCATTTTATTCCCTACACGTGTATAATTTTCTCGTCATACCTGATGTTTATTTCAAGATTGATTTAAACACAAGGACATGTAAGCGGGTAAATGATTTTTTTAAGTCTCATAATCAGTTAAATATCAGTCAGAAAATGGGCAAATCTGTTAATTGATTGATGAAAATCATTTCATCCAGAGAATGATTTTTCCGGGAGCAATTCATTTATTCCTTAAATGCAAGTATATTCACCAGCTTCCGCTTTCGAAGCTGCATGAGGGCAGGATGCAAAAACCAAGTGTATAATTCAATTTCAGTACGCTAAAATAACCCAAACAGCATCCATTGTTCCACACACCCTTTGCTCACACCCCTGTTATTATATCCCACTTCTGGAGGGCTCCGGTGAGAGCACAATCGAGAGAAACATATGTATCAACTAAACACCCCCGAAGGACAGCGATACTTCATCAAATGGGAGCCTGAAATGCAACTGCATTAAAAGCCCATTATTGATTCAATAGCCTGCTAATTTACTACAATAGATTGGGGGCTCTTAATGTGCGATAATGCGATTTTATTAAGATATTTTTGCTCAGTCCAGCAAATGACTTATTTAAAGACATTCATTCCAAATTGTTACTTTGTTCATGTACGAGTTTCAGGAAACAGCTTAATACAGTTCTGTTAGACTATTCTTTTCTTTATTAGCTTTCGATTTTTAGCTTCTACGTGAAATTTCCAACCTCTGAAGAGATAGAAGCAAAAACATCAGCATTTAAGAGACTAACTAAGTTTGCGGAATATCTGTTGAAAATTTCCGAATAATCATTAGAACTTTTTCGATAGAGCGTCTTAAGGGCTAATCTGGTTTCTTCAAAAATCCTAACTTATGAAAACTTAGAAAGAAAAAATATATAATATTTCGTGGGGGCCGAACTTTAGAAGCTTATATTTCCGAAACGGTTGTAAATAACTGAATATCCATAAGAACTTCTTCATATGCCGACAGGAAATGTTTGGATTAGTTTTCGCCAGAAATTTCTACCCTCTAAAGATATGAAAAGATGGAAGGAAAAATGCAAAAATTTCAGAATTTCTAAGCTCAGAGCAAGAGGAGCAAACGATAAACTTGACATTTTTTAAAATATCCAAATCGATTAAATTTTGCAACAAAATTCATTACAACCGTTTGGTAAAAACGTCTTAAGGGCTTGGGCTAGTTAATTGTTGAATAAATTCAAACCATTTTTGCGGGTCGCCCAACTTTAAGAGTTTATATCTCGCAGATGGACAGTTCGAAAGATTTCAATATGTATAGGAACTTTTCGATAGAGCGCCTTAAGGGCTAGAAATCGCTGTTTAGGTTTATGAAAAAGTCCTAACTCAGGGGCGGATCCAGCTTTAAAGCCAGGGGGGGGG